TACAGTTCTGCTGAGTTCGATACGTTTGCAGCGAATTGGAAATTCTCCCACGTGACATCAAGTCCGAAGTATCCACAGTCAAACGGGCTCACAGAAAAGACCGTGCAAACCGCCAAAAGAATGTTAGAGAAAGCCAAACGTGATCGAAGAGATCCATACCTCGCTTTGTTAGAACAACGCAATACAACCGTGGCTAGCTACAAATCACCTGCACAACTATCCATGGGAAGACGTCTGCGTTCACTTCTACCATGCACAACGAATCACTTAATTCCTGAAACAGTTTGTTATCGCGAAACAGAAAGCATGTTCCAGAAAAAGCAGGCTGAGCAGAAATCCAATTATGACAAGTCGGCCGTGCCTTTACAACCATTAAAGAATGGTGAAGCCGTACGTGTCAAGCAGGAATGTGAATGGAGACCCGGGAAAGTGATCGAAATAGCAGATACGCCTCGAAGTTACTTAGTCGAGACTCCAGAAGGGGCTGTATATCGCCGCAATCGAAGACATTTACATAGAGACGCGTCGCATGATCAGTCTATTCTACACACAGATTCGGGAACGAACGTACAGTCGAAGCAAACCGAAATTACGGAACATGAACAGCAGTCAAGAAGCCCAGAACACTAGCAAGCAAGCAATGATGGTGCAGAGGGTTATCGTACACGTTCGGGACGATTGGTTAAACAACCAAATAGGTATTAATAGAGACATTTTAAAACAATGTAGGAAAATATGGAACACTATGTAGGAACACTATGACGATTAAGAACACTATGATTTAGGGAACTTATTACATTTATAGTACATTCAAATAAGAAAAAAGGGGAAAAAATGCTAGTTTTTTTTTGAAGGGGGGTTGTAGTATATTCAAATTATTCTGTAATATTCTATAGGCTATAGTTATTTAAATTAATCATTGTGTATTTAAGTAAACGAGTAATAGATTAAAGCACACTTTTATTTCGATATATTACAATATATGCAGCAAGTGTAAAAATGAGAATCGATAACCTACCACCTTTGGGATACTAGCCCAATGCTCTGCCAACTGAGCTACACGGTCAGGTCGTTTCGGGATTGTGATATTTCGGAGTCTAGTTCCTTCGATATCAATGCAATTTAGTAATCATGATTATTTTTCTGTGTTGGTGTTATGCAATTAGTTGAATATGATGCTTGTGATGTTACTCAGAGTGTATAACCACACAGGGCAAGCTTGAAAATATGCCTGGCCCCGGCGGGAATCGAACATACAACCGACATGACTACTCGAACCGACCAGACCGCGCGTAGCTCAGTTGGCAAGAGCATTGGGCTAGTATTTCAAAGGTCGTAGGTTCGATCCCCACCGTGGCTCGGTATATTTTCAAGCTTGCCCTAAGTGGATATTCACTCACAGTAACATCGCAAACATTCATCTGTCGAGTACACAGCACCGACACAAAAAAATTTTGTTTACTAGGTTGCATTAATATAGGAACTAGAATCAGTTCCGAGATATCGTGTACTCGAACCGTCGACTTGACGGCGTATTTCAGCTGGCAGAGCATTAGGCTAGTATTCCAAAGGTCGTAGGTTCCATTCCCGGCGTGATCAGCCATACTTTCAATCTTTCCCGATGTGGATATAGGCTACACTCAGAGTAACATCGGAAGCATTATATTCACCTATTAACACCAACGCAAAAAAAAATCATGCCTTTCTAGATTCCATTGATATCGAAGGAACTGGACTTAGTTCCGAAATATTAGGCCTACCATACTCGAACTGACCTGACCGCGTAGCTCAGTTGGCAGAGCATTGCGCTAATATTCCACAGGTCGTATGTTCGATTCCCACCGTTGGCAGGCATATTTTCAATCCTGACCGGTGTGAATATATGCTACACTCAGAGTAACATCACAAGCATTATATTCCACAGAGTACATAACACCAACACAGAAAAAATCATGTGATTACTAGATTCCATTGATATCGAAAGAACTAGACTCAGTTCCGAAATATTACATTCTCGAACTGACCTGACCGCGTAGCTCAGTTGGCAGAGCATTAGTTTAGTATTCCAAAGGTCGTATGCTCGATTCCCAGCGCTTCCTGGTATCATGGATACACTCAGAACATCACAAGCATTAAACTCTATAACTTAGCATTTGTGACCAGAAATGGTAAGCTTAATATTATTTCAGTTCAGATAAATAACTCACCTGAACATTAAACCTTATAAATTGAACAAAATGGAATAACACTTTGCTTTACAACAAAAATTATCACTGAAAACTCACCAATAGCTAGTAAAAATATTTTTACAACTTTCCATCAGGTAGGCCGATATATTTTTGGAGCATGAGTTCGGTTCTAGCCTACGGTGTAGACCCCAGCAGAAACACGTTTCGTGAGGGGTCTACGAATAAACAAAGAAAAGCTTGCCCGGCGTACGTCATATCCGTTTTACGTTTTGGGTAAATTAACTCCAATTTATTCAAATTTCTGAAGCGTGCGTGAATGTAAATTTTCATTCGGCGCTTTATATTAAAATGTTCCATGGCGGTCTTTGTGCCATAAAATATACCCTGACTATATATATATATATATATATACCCAACCATTAAACACATGTTCGAACGGACTAAAAAGTTCTTGTCATTCGTACAAACTGTTTATAG